ATTGCGATCCACCCTTAGTCGCATTAATTGCGGCATTTTGGCTTGCCTTCATTGCAGCCCCCAACTCCTTCATTTTGGTGGGTTTGAAGGGGGTGGATTTAGTCCGACATTGCGTAGAGATATGGCTTGTGTTGTGTTGTGTTTATAAGGAGGTTTTGTAGGGATGAGTTAGGCCCAACCCACATATTTTAAGACTTAGAAAGTAGAAACATATGTTACAGTGTGATATTTCGAATTGCCGATATCTGTAGTGGCGGAATATTTTGGCTTGATGATAATCTTGAGTTTTTAGCTCTACTGGATTCAGTAAATTTTTTAATGCTTATAGAATGTGTTGGGTTGTCTATGAAGTATATTCCTTTACTTTTGATGGGTGTGAAGAATGCAAGACTTTAAAAACAATTGGAAGTATGAATAATAGTTAAGAAGATGTTACTTTTGATGTTGTATTTTGCACGTGTTTTCCCTTTGCTTCTTTCATCAAGTTCTTCTGTTTCATTTTGCTCTCTCTATTTTGTTATATGTTTCTTGTTGCTTTTGCATTCTCTAACTTGGTAGACTGTGGAATGGTATTTCTGCCGAGATTTTTTTCCGTTTTTGTGTCTCTCTTGTTTTTTTCTCTCTCTTGAATTCTGTGTTCTTGAATCTTAAAAACTTACTGCAAAAACTTCTCATGTTTTTCCTAGGTTGATCAAGCCACTTGAGGATTTCGCTGCATACTTTTGGTGTTTGAAGAGCTAATCTGTCTTGCAAAATGAAGTAATGGAAGCAAAAACCTTCTTTTTATTTGTTTGCTTATATTATTGGTAGACTGAAAATTGAATGGCCTGCTCATTATATACTGTGTATCGTAACGATAGAAACTAAGGAATCTGTAGGGTTTGCATAAGAAACTAATTAGTAGGAACAGAGATGAAGTAACAACTCAAACTTTATCACCAACCTTGTACACCATAATATTCCAAACATTGCAAGCCTCTACTAGACCTTACCTTCATTTACTTTCCAAAGCATTTTTGAATTGAATTAATATAGCATTATGTGAGTTTGGCAGTTAAACTTTCCCATGGCCCAATGTTACTTTCTATTTATTTCAAGATAGCCAACTACAGAAATTAAGGGTGTTAGTTCTTGAACCTCTATGACAGTCATGCATAAATACTCCCAAACACAACCTGATGCTGGGTGCCAGTTTTGTTCTTGCGACAAATTCATTATGTTTAATTTCTTTTTGAGTTTAACTGTTTAAGCACAAATACTTTGAGAACTCTTAGTTCTCGTATTGGATTCTCTATAGGGCAATTGGTTCTTCGTAGAAACTGGATAATGGACTAACAGAGAGGTTTAGACAAGAATTCAGGGCATTTCAAGTTTAAATCTTATTCAAAATACTAGGAAGTGTAAGTGGATTCAAATTATTTAGGAAGTAAGTGAAAGTCTAAGATCTACCCCATATCACTTTGTCCTGAATTTAACTTCATTATTATATAGAAAGGGGCGATGAGAAAAAAAATTCTCGACCACTTGATTATAGAGGCTACTATACTATGTCAAGGACTAACTCTACCAAAGGCCTAGACTATTAGTTGGAGGTTGGTTATATTGGGTTTTAATATTTGAGAATAGAAATTGGTACCAAAAGCTTGAACTAATATTTATAGTCGCCGAAGGGAAGGAAATGCAATGGAAGATAAGATTAGGGCATCTCACTATCATATAAGCTACAAAATAGGTCATAGCTGATAAATGCTACCAACAAAATATACATGTGATTGTCATTGCGAATGTTATATCTGACCGGAGGAGGTAAGGGAAAGTAAGTCGTATAAAAGAGTCAGTAGGCATCTAGATCACCCTCTTTAGTTTTTGTGCCCACCAAAGAAAACTAATTAACCAATTGAACTTTCAGTCCAAAGAAAATCCTTGATAACTACCTCAGGGTTTATTACTTGCATAACAGGAAGCCTATATGATGGCAAATAAGTAAAGCAGATGGTAGATAACATTTTGTATTGAACTGGCATCAAATTAAAGAAAAAAGGGATTAGCGTGTGTGTTCAGAACTCCAGTTTTATGTTAATGTCTCAAAACTTAGTCCTTTGGTTAATTTTTGAAAATTTAATATGAATATTGCAGTGCCTATTGAATAAAAGTTCGTAACGGTTGAAAGATGAAAATGGAAAATGACCAATGAAACTTCTTCGCTTTTTCTAAGCTAGGAACATATATTATAGAAGCATTTGAATGATATTTTTGTTTGAGAAATGTGGGAAATTTAGGTGACCAAACTAGTGATGTAGAGATTTGTTGAGCATGATACTCCATAATCCATATCATTCTCTAATTGATGGTGACAGTATGTAAAAATGGATAGCTTAAACTTAATGTTTTCATTAATTATGCATATTTGAATATGTTAGGATACAGGGTAAGGAGAAGTTTGTTAGGTTTTGACGGAGTTAATTAGGATATAGAATAAACGGGGAGTTCATTAGGGTTTGGGGTAAGGAGTTAGTTAGTTATTTGTTTAGTTAGAGAAATATTTATATGAGTAGGGGAATGCAATGATATAGAGGGGATTATTAAGTAGTGACACTAATATGTGAAGGGAAAACCCTTAGAGGAGAAATTTCTCTCTTATTCTCTTCTATCCTTTCTCAATCTTTCAGTAAAATTGTTTATTCTTTTCAACTTGATTCTTGGGTTCCTAACTGATTATGTATTTTAGAAGCATTACTGTAATATGAATCTCACATTTGCTATCACATTGTAGGGGACGTGTAAGGTGGGATGAAGCTAACATTGGAGATATTGAGGCAAACAAGCCTGTGAGGCAGAAAATTACTGAACCTAAGACTCCATATCATCCTATGGTTGATGATGATTGTATGTAAAGAAGATAACGTAAACGTCATGTTTCCATTACTTTATATGCATGCATGAGTATGGTTATGTGTATATACAAATAATTGTCTGGTATTTTACTTTGCAGTTATAATAGTCCTTTTATTCTTGTGCTGGGATTTAATAATTTTCAAATTTTTGTTTCATGGATAAATTCTAGAAATTAGTTATTTCTCAAAATGTTTGAATTATAAATGTGAGAACATGTTTGAATGTTTGCTGTAGTTTCTAGACATTGTATGTACAAAAAAAATTCTTCTGACACAACCTACATTTTTAGGTTCTCTATCCCCTGTAAGAGGAAGTTTTGATGCACGTATTGATGATGAAAATTGCACAACACAAGTTGAAGCAATATGGACTGCTCTGACTGATGCAGGCTCTAGTAGCAAAAGAGGCTCCGGACAATCATTTGGTTGGACATCATCTGAGGATGAGCTAGAAGCGATGGAACAAGAAGATGATGGTATGATACTATTTATTTGAACAAAGATCGTTATTGTTTAATATTTTTTTATGACCATTACTGCTTCCCATTCATGAAATTTTTTGTTTTGTTAACTGGTACTGTGATTCAAGTAATTGAAATATCTGAATAATAAGTCTATAATGTTACCTTATTTAACGTAGTTGACACTATTAATAGGTTACATTATAGACTTATTAATGTCAATCCTTTCCGATTTTACTAATCATAAGATTATACAAAATTTATAAATCTCATATATATGAATATGAAGTCATCTATATGCATATAAAATAGCATATGTTAAGACAGAAAACCTAAAATCACACTTGAAATATTTATATAATTAATAGGAGAAGGAGCAGCGTGAAAGATTTGTACTGCCTCTCAATCTTTTATGAAATAGCAGGATTTTATTTTAACAAGGTAGAAGTTACTGTGCTGTTATTTATTTATTTTTGAAATGGAGTTATTGTGCACTTAATATGCATATTTTTCAGTATAAACTGCCTATTTTCAATGAAAAAACCCTATTTTATTATAAATGAACTTCGTTTGACCCAGACTGGAAACAGGCTCTCTCTTAACCCGACCACTGAAACGAGTTTTATGCTGACCCCGTGCATTTGATTATCTTTTTCCCCCAACCAAGCGTGAGCGCCGTGCTGTTTTCTGCTGTTGCACCACTGGAACCAGAAACGCAGAAATGACTAGAAAGTCGTAGATCACACGTTCACGATTAACACGTGTGGTTCTCTCTGATTCCGCAAAAACCCAATTCATGTGTACTCAATTGTTGAGGGCAAATACAATTGTACAATCGTGCAATTTCATGACCCACATCACAATTTTAACTAGCACGAGTCCTGCTATTTAGTTTTGATCTGACATGTAATATGGCATTTCTGCATATGTAATTATGGAATCATGGATTCCCCAAGACATAGCAAGTCACAAACATATATGCCCTACTGTAATTCTGAGTATTTTTACACCGCCCAATAATTTTTTTACCAGATACGAATGTTACAGATAAATATGTTCGTGTAACGTTTTACCAGATACTTATATTACAAAACTCACTTTACTAGATACTTGTGTATTGCAATATCAGGATTGAGTTTATTAGCTGTTTCATTGATTAAGTACTATTTGTTCTCCTACTTATCTTACCTGAACTTTCTTTGATTGGGTTGAGGTTCTGAAACAGATAGGAGCAGAAGCTTTAGAAAGCTCAGAAAGGCCCATTATGATGAATTTCTTAAAGCGAAAGAGCATCGAAAGAAGAGTTCTCATGTTGAAGACGAAAGTGACGGGGATAATAATACTGAACCTGACAAGGAGGAGAAGAAATGTGAATCATGTTCACTAAGTGATAGCGTAAAAGAGATCGACATTGAGGGGGGGAAGTCTTCTACACCTCCAGCTAATGGTTCTTAGACACTGATCAACGACAAATAAAACTCACCTTCGTATTTTGTTTTATTTTGTGGGTTGGAAAACAACTAATTGATTCCCTATATTTTTGTATCACTAATGCGTAAATATTTTTATTGCTTACTCGACTATATCTGTTCATGCAAACACTTGCATAATCTGATTTCACTCTTATACTCTGGCAAAGAGACTCTCATATCAATGGCCACTTAATGTTACTTCTGATTGGAAATGTTCCAATACTTGCTGTCTCAAATGCTAAATAAAGCTGCATTTGAAATTCTATAAACACATGATAACCTTGCTTTTTTTTTTTGTTGTTGTTGTTGCAATAGGCCACATAGAAAGATGTTTGGTATCTTTTGTTATGGTTCAAAAGATATAGCATCAGCTCCTTATGGCCTTTGTTGGAGACAAATAAGGTATATGTGTTATGCATAGTCTTAGTGGCAAAAGGGTTCAATCTCTTAGTAGTAGTACCAATGAATTTAACTAATTTGTTATGTGAAACAAATTAGCTGTTGGATTGAGATCAAACACTATTTCAATGGAGATTATGTACATTCTCTTGGTTGGTTGGGAAGAGTTAATGGTTTGCATCATATGGTAGAGCTAAAAGAGTGGTTAAGGTGCTTGATGAGTTTTTTTGGATGAAATTTTTGATGAACATGTGAGTGATTGGTTGGTTTTGTAGATGTTTTGCTTTGGATAAAAAAACGAATGTCTCGGGATTTAAAAATAAATGGTTGTTTTTGTATTTCTTTTTTGCTTAAATGTATTTTTAATCCTATAGTTAATTGATATTCGGTTTTATCTACCATTTTTAAATAAAATGTTTTTGTTTTTTTTAATAAATAAAGTTGTTGGTTTTAAGTATCAATTATTTGTTTACAATAATATATTATAAGACAACGTAACTAATCTAAGAGGTTTTAATATGCCATCCCTAAATACCTTTGTGTGTATAATCACTAAATTTAAAAAAAAAATTGAGTTTTTACTGAATATTTGGGGTATAGGAAATTTTTGAAAAAAGTATCGGATTTTTTGAAATATCTGATATTTTATTTTTCATAAATATATAAATATTTTTTTTACACTATCTGAAATTTGATATATTTTGAATTTTTTTTCTTCAAAAAAGTTATATCAGAAATTTTACAAAACTTAGAAAATTTTGAAAATTTATTGAAAATTTCGCAAAAATATTAAAAATTTTGTTTTTGTACACCCACTTAATTTATTTAGAGATATTTTTGAAATAACGAAAAATAAGAAGAATGTTATATATAAGTCAGGGGTGACATATTAAAACTTCCCCATCTAATTTAAGTAAGAAATAATAGTTGGGCTATTCTACTCTCAAAACTTGAGGAAAAAAAATCATAAATTGAGATTTTTTCCCCCTAAAACACAATTTGAGGACTATTTTTTTTTTATGATGTATCTTATCATACACATAAATAATTGGCGTGGCATTATTGATTTAGACTAAAACTAATGAATTTAAATTAGAAGAATAGATATAAATTTCCTAAAAAATGTAACAAAATTTGCATTCTTTTTTATAATGATAATGTCACTGGCAATTGTTGCATTGTTATTTTCAGGAGAGAATTTCTTTGTATATTTTTATATAGGTAAAAAAACTCTTTGAAAATTAATTTAGGGGTTCGTTCAGATATGCATCTTCGAAATTTTGGATATAATGGATTTGCAGCATGGTTTTTTATAAAATATCAATGTCGGTACCTAATAAACACAACAATTTGATACGTAATTCGGTTAAATAATATCGAAATACTGAAAATTGAAAAATGATACGAACATAAATTGTTTAGAGATACTAGAATTAATACATAAATTGTTTAGAAATTACATAATATAAAATGATTACATCGGTAAATAAAAGAGGCATAGTCTACTACGTATGCCTAATCCTAACCCCCTGGCCCCTCCTCTGCCTCCTATATCTCGCTGCACTCGATGCCTCACTAACCATCCTCTCTACGATGGCCATCGCCTTAGGACCGCCCCTCTCAATGATCTCTAAGTTCAAAGCCTACTGCTCAATCAACTGTATCTACTGACAGATCGACAAGACATTAGTGGCATGGTCATCTTGGGCCTGCTGGTTCTCCAAGATCTCATCATGAGCTGCCTAGGCGGACGTCCAAGAGCATCTGATGTCATAATAGAGTGTGATACTGTATAGAACTATGTCATGTATCCCTCTAGACAATGTCAACTACTGGATGCCTGCATCATTCGACACTCCTTTGACACCATATGATTCTCCCAATCCTGGGAGATGCCATCGAACTCCTAACGGACAATGGTATCGGGAGCAACCAAGAAGGGAGATCTGGATATGGTTTGCACATAGCCAAATTGCCGGATGCATCGCTGCTGAAGATACTTGACCATAGTTTTAGTCCTATATGCCAACACCCTGAGTATAATGAGATGAGGTCGAAGGGGCCAATCTCCACGTGATCCTCAAACGTCATTCAAATGATGTAATCATGAAAAGTATGATCAAGATATACTCGGAACAATGACATATCATGATTCCCTCCGTGGAAGATATACATGGCAGCCCTCGATATCTTCTCACTAGATCAAAATCAAAACCATGAATGCGGTAGAAGTGAGAAATGGTCGATCTCTGAAAAATGAATAAGAGATATGTAAGAACAAATTACTAATAGCAAATTAAATTTAATAGTTAGAATGAAAGGTACTGTGAGCAGTGTGCAAGAGCCTGTCAACTGCCTCATTCTCCATTTAGAAGATTCATTCAGATTTTGGTATAGGTATACCAAACATCCAGTCCCCTAGTTCTACTCCCTAATTGTAACCAAATTTATGAAGTACTGTAGATATGCCACATCCACGTAGGTTGCACTTTTGTTCACAAAAATGGACGTGCCAAGCAAGAACATGAAGTAACACCACAAACCACACTCACAATGGTACTAAACAAATAACTCATTTCCCTCGCTCTCAGAAGATTTGCTGAAACCAGGTGCTCTGCATATAGGTCTCCCAGGAATGAGAAATTTCCATTAGTCCTATTAGTTAAGGAAAACTATTCATCTGCTTTTCCAGTTGAGCTCCTAGATACTCGACCATCCATTCAATCACTTCACCACGAGTGATCCGAGAGTGGTTAAGTTACCTCCCTCTAATAGGAAGGTGTAGCAGACATACGACATTGTTAAGTGTGATCGTCATCTCCCCAACAGGAAAATAGAAAGATGACGTCTCCTTGTTCCATCTCTTGGTAAATGTCCCTTGCATGCTGTGGCTAATAGTAACATAACCAGAACAACAAAGTCCGACAAGTCCAGGGCCGAGAATGGCCTCGTTGAACCAATCCTCATTTAGATGGCGCAAATCAAATATTTTTCGCGCGTGATACACAGACTTTATGAGAAGTCGTTCTTGTAAAAATAAATATTATTCTCAATGTTAGTCGTTAACACATTTGTGCGTAAATCATTTAAATGAAAAGTGTAATAAAAAATATACTTCTCCATCCCAAAAATGTTGAGCGACATGATCATTGTAATAGATAAATAGGGAGGTGTAATAGGGATCTCCTGGATACCCCTGGTTTTCCGGTCCCATTGTTGCACATAGTCATGCAGTCGGTGTATCATGGGCATCCTCCTTGGGTTCCTGTGCTCGAACATCAACCTCCTCGGGTTCCTGCTCATTATCCCGAGATGAGGACGCATGAGACAGGAGACTCCTCAGAGTAGAAGTAGATGCCCCCCACTTCCTCCAATCTTCTACCCCTAATAGCATGCTTAGTTCTCTCACGCCGAGCGGAGGCAGCCTGACTTGGCTTACCATGTCTCAATCTGTTGTTTGGGTTCTCACCTATTTTCCTGACGAAAAAAATCATTACTCAAAGGGAAGGAACAAGTGTGAAACAATTTAAAAAAAACAACCCATGCTTAATTTTGCATGTGCTTATCCGAAAGTAATCAGAGGGGTTGTGATCGGTGGGAATGAGAACTGACTGTTTTGGAATGCTGGTTCGCGTTTGTGTTTGTTTTTGCAAAATGTTGCGGTAAGCAAGAGTCGCCACCGTCTTTTATTTTATCCAACAAGGAAAGGACAAAAGCACAAAAAAATTCCTTTTTGAGATATTTCTCGGGTTCGGGAGGTAGATTATAGAAAGGGAAGGTATTAGCACCCTTTCTATCCGTGGTTATCCACGGGCTCTTAGGTACTTGCTCATTATGTTTTCAAAAATTTGCTTTACTTTGTGATTGTGGGTTTGAAAAGAGTCTTTGTTTTGAAGGGAGTGTAAGTGCGAAAAGCTTTGTTTTGGTTTTTAAAAAGAGCAAGTATTTAAGAACCATCTACCTACTCAAAAAGGAATTAAACTGTACAAGTGTCCTTTAGACAATGCTATCCCACTATTGAGGAGTAGGTAGCATCGTCGTTAGAGTTTTCGGGTCAATTCGATTAAGGGACGTGCGGTCACTAAAGCAATGTTAGAACGCCTTAGCGGTAACCCTAATGTCTTAGATCATTTTTATCCGAGGCAACCATTTCGAGGCAACTTATGATCTTTGGACAAGAGGGTGACCTCTAAAACTTCCTATACTCAATGACCACGTTCAAGGCAACCAAGTGAGGTGTACCCTAAGAGTGGCATGTGCGAGTGTATTGTTTTTCAGTTATTTATCTTTGTACATGTTAATGGTGAGCTACTGTTGGTTTTAAATTAAAGATTAATCTTGTCATGCATTGCCTATTATTCAAACATCTAACAGTTAATGGTTGCAGAAATTAAATTGCGGAAAATAAATCTAAGCTATTACAAGGCGTCGGGTATTTACATCACCAAAAAACAAACCCTTTTAAAATTAAATTACGAAAAGTAAATAAAAGCGATAAATAAAATCCTAATTTAAACTATTACATTCCCGAAGCAGTTACAATATTGAAATATGGATCAAAAGTAATTCGCGCGCGAGAAAAATTAAATCGAAGTGTTTTTAGGGTTTTGACCCTTTTTATTAAATAAAGCATATTTTTGTTATTTTTGAATTAAAAATTAATCTAAATTAATAATTGAGTTAATTAATTAAATGAAAATATTTTTTGGGTTTTTATTTTAATTAAGGAAATAAAAGAAGAATAGTTAAAAAAAATATTAAAAGCCTAATTCTAAATTAATTTTGATTTAATGCAAAAGATATTAATGTTAAGCCTATTTAAACTAAATAAATTAATTAATTGTTATTTACAAAAATAAATAATAAAATTAATGGAATTAAAAAAATATTATTTTGTTGTTTTCTGATTTTATGAAATAAAAGTTAATTGGTTAATTTTAATTAAGATAATAATAATTAAATAGAAAAAGAAAAATGAAAAGAAAATAAATTGAAGAACAAACTCAGGGGGGTGCTGGGC